CTTTTGCTTTCTTTATTCTATGATTACTTCCTCTGGGTTTTACAGGTCTTACATATTAAGTCAGCTATTCTGTAAATATATATTTAACATTTAAAATGTTTAAAAATTGGCCAAAAAATCAACAGATATAAACTATAGAGTTGAGAAAATGAGGTTGGAGAAGTTTGGATTTTGGACATCATCAGGATTTGTATAGATGTAAATTTGTATGAGCAGTTTATACATTGTAGTGCTAGTTTAGTTAATCACTCACCAGTATGTCCCCATACTGTAGTTGTTGTTTTTTCATCAAAATGGACGATGAATAGATGGTAGTAAACTGTAAGTCTTTCCAGATGTTATCATGTACCTGTCTCAGTGGTATCTTTACTCACATACCCTCCCATCCTATGAGCCCCTCAGAGGCTGGCCTCTGTGCCGTGTGTTGATAAGAGCCTTGATGGTCTGGTTCCCTCATTTGGTCTGTATGGAACCCATTATCTTTTTTTTTTTTTTTTTTTTTTTTACAGTGAGCTGAAATATTGTCTCACTTTGCCACTGAACACTTTCCACTATAATTCTGTCTTGTTCTACTCATGCCAAGAGAACAGAGACAGACAATGTATGGCATCATCCCGCTAGAGTTTAGACATCTGGGTGTAGCAGTGAGTGTTTGAAATGACTAAAACATAATAAACAATGTAAATGCAAACAGATTGTGTGGTTCAGTGGTATAGCCCATTCCCATGTATAGTTCTCAATGCACATATGATGGGTTTGACTTAACATCTTGGCCTCTTTTCTTTGCATATCTTCTCATTTACCTTTTTCTGTCACTAATGCTGTGGAAACATGCTATAAGAACCACAAAATCATCCTAAAAACAAGAAAAAACATTGACAATGTGCTTTTCATTGGTAAAATTATTCAGGACACACTGTCACTTTACTACTTTTAAGTATAACATAATATGCAACTAACGCACGTTACCATATATTCATTTTTGAACACCATGAAAACATTCTTTCACATATGATTTTTAACTTACAGAGACCATTTTTATTCCAGTCTAGTGGATTTTACATAAGTGCGGGACAGTTATTAAAGCAATGATTTGCTATGCAGTCACCTCAGTTTAAGGAACGCATGGAATAGTCTCTGACTGCAGGAGAGCTGGACCTTCTCAATGAGCATTTCAGTGACCGTGAGCAGTATGCCACACTTTCTCCCTGTAATAATCAGTTTATTATTGAGTAAAAAAACAACAAACAAACAAAAAAAGACAGTCACACTAAAGCAAAAGTGTTTCACTTCCCCCAAATTCTAACTATGCTACAATTTATGGCAAAATAGGATGTAATGTTTCATAAATCTTGTTTATTTCTGCAAGATTTTACGTCATAAAAGAAACAGCAGATTAAAATTAAATCTGGGCTGTTATTACCCAGTCTGGACATCTTCTTTCTAAATGATCTCAAAGAAATGAATATTTGTTGCAAATTAGTGGTTAAAACAAACACAGCTGAGCATTAGATGATGCAATAAACATTTGTTACATGAGGTCAAATATAATATTTTAAAATGCAAGCTAAAATAAGATTTTTGCTGTCATTGTATTATTAGCTACTCATAATAAATGGTGCCTTTGACAAGCTACAATGGCATTTACTTTGGATGGTGTCCAGGTTGTCTTGAAAAAAATAAGAGTCTCTTGGGTCTGAAATGTTTTTGGCTGGCTTGAGGATGATCACACATAATCAGAAACAGATTGACTTCTGGGGGAGGCCAGCAGTCAGAGCTGTGGGGCAATGCTGCCTGCAAAAGAGGAGAGTAATGGGACACAATGTTTTCTTTGCCTACAGAAGCTCTTTGGCGTCGGCTGCGGCTTGGCCGATGAGCATGTGTGAGCTCAAAGATAAAAAAGCAGGATCACGTAGTTCAGGAGATGAATTATCCTAAAACCCAGTGGTAGGAAAAAAAAGGAGTTGGTGGGCACCAGCCAGTGGGATGGAGCTGCACAACTCACTGAACAACTTTAAGCTTATCATGATGGATCCTGTAATGTCGTGCAAAGCAACAGTAGCTACACTGTGTCAACAGTTCCTGAGGCTCAGTAATGGAGAATGGGACCATTGAGTATTAAAAAAGAATATTTAAAATACATGGCAGTCTAATGGTTATTAACCCCCTTTGCCACCTGAACATATATATGTGTATATGTATATAAATTCAATTCAGTTTATTTGTATAGCGCCAATTTACAACATGTCATCTCAAGACAGAGACAATTCAACAGATCATACAGTCAAACTGATGCAAAGTTTTTATCTAAGGAAAACTAGCTGATTGCATCGACTCATTGACTCAAAGGCAAACCCTCACACCAAGCATGCTTGTAGTGAGAGTGGAGAGGAAAAACTCCCTTTTAACAGGAAGAAACCACTAGCAGA